TTTCTTTGTTTCATACTGCAAAAACAATGACATCAGCCTCAGCTGCACTTATTGTTTTCTGCTAATGAACAAATGTATAAACTGTTAGACAATATAGCTTCTAAACACCTGCATTTATCATGTTATTGTTACCACGCTAATGTTCGCATTTAGCTCAAGGCACAGCGATGCTTAAGTCTTGCTTAACCTGATGCTGCAGTGAAGACGTTCTTTTGTTGACCAACTGGATTGTTAGCATCGTACTGTACTTATTTTGCAAGTTAGTTTGTTATTTTGCAGAAAAATGAACTCTATGGTCAACAAGCATTTATACTGTACTTCCATGTTTTGTTCAGCGTGATCATATTCACAAATGAACCATTTTTAAGATTTTTGAAGCAAAAGACTCATTTGCTAATCCTCATGTGCAAACATACATGCACTACATGTGTTTTAAGATTCCACTCATTCTACCAGCAGACTTGTCAAAGCTTCTTCTAGTTATTTACGGGGACTGTTGTCAGAGAGACACTAAAGTACAGGTGGTCTGTGTGTGTTGTAATCCAGAACGAGAGGATAATGATGTGTTTGTGTCTGGAAAACTGAAACAATAGTGTGCCAACTACTACTAATGAGGGAAGGTTCAATAGATGATGAATGTGTGATGAATTATGTTTGCCACTTCATACTGCACCCGTGATGAGATCCTCATAATGGGTTAGTACCACCAGCACCACAGAGCGTTCCCTACAACAGACCCCTAGCATCCCATTCATTGCTTTTAATTAAGAATCCACCCCCTGTGCCTTTTGGCAAATAACATTCTGCTCCTCATGTGCATATTTATAACAGACTGTTTTCAGTTTGCTTGCTGGTGTTTTCTGTCTCGTTTGCATGTGTGCAAGTGTTACACAATGTACGCAACCGTTTCAACTGTCAGGGATCACCTGAAATAGTTCTGGGTGCTTCATATATCAAAGCCGACCCACAAAAACAATTTATTTTCATGTGTCTTCTTTAGGAAAATGATGCAGAAAAGCGTGAACACAAGTTGGTAGAGGAATAGATTATGTACATTAGGTTTATCTATAGGTACATGCGGGCTACAGGTGGCTCATTAGTGATGCTACCCGTCTCATTCAAAATTCAAAATTCATTCAGATTTTATTTGTTGGCTGTGTAAAAACGCTTCACGTTGCGTGATATTCAAAAGATGTGTGTGGATTTCAATGAATCAATGATTAAAGGATTTTGATTGGAAGCAACAGTGTTTTATTGTAATGTTTTGCCCTTCTACTTTGTCACAATGCCACTGGCCCGTGTTCAAATCTCCTAATATCTTGTTTTATCGTCTTGTTGTTGTGTTCTGGATTAATTAATAACTATAGAACTACCTCTAATATAGCATTATCCAATGCGTTCCCCCCCAGTATCCATGTGGCTATTTCATAGTCTTTCATTTCTGTGGTGTTTCATCTCCAGCACAAAAGAATTACTTGTGAAGCCTTGGCACAGCTCTAAGGTGGTATAAGATGGACACAGAACCAGTTTTAGTCTGAAAGAATGGAACATGCTGTGTCACTGACTCACAAAATAAAGCACCTGCTGTGGGCGTTGGAAGTTACACATATCTGGAACTTTAGTCATAAAAAGTCAATAGTCTCAGTAGTTAACTCACACCGCAATCTGTTTTATCAGTGAAACCTGCCAGTATTCAGATGCATAAAATGTTCACATACTGCATCAAAATTCAAAATGGTACTTGAATGCAGGTTAAGCAGCAACATTTAGTTAAAGAATTGACTGAGGGAAATAACGTGTAAGTAAAGTGTTACGTTCCTCTTGTAAATCCGACACAACACCAAAGCCGAATGAAATTCCCGTGATTCAAGAGATTAAATGACTGACAATAATCATACAACAAGACTTTCATCGTCGTCTATGGCACCCACGGGTTCCACAGCCCATCCGACACCAATTACGTCAATAAAATGTTTTTTTTGTCTGCACGCTGTGAAACCATTTTGGGCGTAAAACAGGCGTGTCGAGGCTGAAGGCCCGTCACCAGTGTTAACTGATCTGCCTCCAGTAGTTGTGTCATGTGAACAGATAACGTTCAGAGGGTGCGGCCTGAGACGCGGCCCCTTAACCTGCCAATTAGAAAGACCCACCCGGATGACCTTTGTGCTTTTGGTTTGTCAAATAAGTTCACTGTTACTAGCGTGAAGTTCCTGCTCCTCCGGGCATCTTCCCGGCTGGTTTGATCTTTGACCTCCTTTTTAGGGCGTGAGCAGAAATTCACCCACTCGGATTGAAGCATCAGTACATTTTTACAACGAGGGCTAGATCGTTTTTCCATAATGTTTCCATTATGCTTCATGAAAGCACCTCCCAGATGCCCATCGCGCTACTTGTTCTTTCATGCGTGGAGATCAGCCAGTGACTTCTGCAAGGCAACACGCAGGCTAAAGTTGGCAGGCAAGTGTCTCTTTTATAGGGCGTCCTCTGAGACAAGTCAAAACTTGAACAATAGGACGTCGTTATGCATGTCAGCCAGAGAGGAATGCTGGAGATCCGCCGGTATGCAACCAGGCAATTATTCTCATCTACGTCAGCTCTCCCCTGTCTTCAGCCGCAAGCCTGCAATTTCCCAATTACTAACCCTCGCTGGAACTGCTTTGACAGCACCGCGTTTCCCTGGTCGATGGTTGCAGACGTTTCTGTTCATCTCTGACCTCTTGATCCGCAGCCTGTGGCCTGTACTATGGATAAATAAATACATCAAAAACAGAGATGTGCTTGGTGGCTTGTGCGTGGTGAAATGGTTTGCAGCTGTGGCACACCGCTGTTTTCCCTTTTTCAGCTTTGTCCTTAAAGTTTAGGGGGTTAGTGGGCAGAGATGTTAAAGAGGTGTGGGTGCACGAATATAGAGGGGAGATTAATAGGTAAATCATTTCATCAATAACATATTAGATGTGGTGTTTCCTCCATAGTGGCTCCCACAGGGATCCTCAGCGGGAAATGCGGGGGACTTCAATTTCCTGTTATTTCACTTTCTAGAACAATAGGAATAAATACAAGACTGAGTGTCTCATCCGACTGTTGTTTCCCCATCATGACAGAGACAAACGCTGTACACTGAACCCTAATGGCTTGAATATTTGATTGAGTTTCTGGACGTAGGCGTTCTTATGAGAAACAATTCTAAAAATCTATCTTGTTGAAGGGGAATAATAGAGCACAGCTTGTGACTGTCACAGCAGGCTTACCTTTAAATCCCCTCCTCTGATGTCACAATGCATGAGGTCATGACACCATCCACACAGCGCATGCAGCATAATGTGCCAGAAGCCCTGAATTGTTTTTAATCCTGACGTATCATATCCGCGGTTGATTTGCATTTTGCGCTTGGAGACGAGCCCTTTCGAAAATGCCTCTCTTTAGAAACTGCTTGGTTGAGCAGGCTTGTCTGCACACAACGAAACTTGAGCCGGAAGGCAGCACAGCAGGTTCCTAAATCTACTTCTGGTAAAACAGGGAGGAGAGAGGAGCTGACTCAATGTACTGACAGTAAACAGTTCACCTCCGTATGGAAATGCCACCGATTAAGCGTGCAGTCAGTCCAGTAAATACACTGAGACGCCAATAAATGAGAAAATGACTCATTCTCTTTCTGCTTTTGGTAAAATTATGATAATGTTTCAACAAGTCTCACATGAAATGATCTGCTGTGATCCATCCAAATGTTTCACTACGTGAGTTAACACATTGTGCACTAATGGACTCATATGTAAGGCGGATTATTACACTCCATTTCTAGGATTATAACCACTGTACTGACACTCAAACGTCCTATGAGTATTTACCGTACATTTGAAGGTGTTTCTTTATCTTCGGTTTCCCAAGCCTTTTCTACTTTTTACTCCGTGATATGTAGTGAAATTGTAGATTAAGATTTAACTAACAAGGGATTTTTTGGGGGGGGGAGGAGCGCCTCATAAAGTCAAGTAGACTTGGTTGAGATGGTCTTTGGAAAAAGATACACAGAAACACAAAAGTCACAAGAAAAGCCTCAGGCATTCTCTTTGTAAAGAATTAAAAGGCCTTTATTGAAATGTAATGTTAGACCTAAAAGCAAACTCTGACACGCTTTGCCATCAAAGGGAGCCAGAGTTTGCGCCTTGAGTTTTCTGGAAGGTCTAACATGTCATTACAATAAAAGCATTTCAAGACTTTAAAAACAGAGTGCCATAGAGGTTTTTTTAACCATGTTTTTATTTAAACCACTAAAAGTGTTACCAACTTACAACAACCAAATTAAAATGCACATCTTTAATAGTACTCAAATGCCATCCTTTTTACGCGGTATCACATTGTTTCATTAATGTTTAAGAAATAATTATTTATCATATCCCAAAATAGACTACTTGGGTTTTTCAGTTCACAAAACACTCCATTTGGTGGGAGAGTAGTGCTTCTTTGTACTTTTACTAAGTAGGTCCAAATTACCAACCAGCAAAAAGCAGCTGCCCACTACGGCCCCCAAAACTAGGCCGCCTGGAGAGTAGGCCTCGAAACCGTGTTGCATTATTAAGCTCCCTAATCACATGAACCCGTCCTTGAGGGGTCTTTGGTCACGACATCCCATTTAATTGAGCTCAAAGGGAAAACCCGTGGATGTTTTTTTTTTTTTTTTCGAAAGTGTGTCAACTGCACACTGACAAAAGGGTCACTTTATCAGAAAATAATCCCGCGATATTATAAAAAGAAAACTGTTGATTTAATCCGCTTTATGACTATTCCCGGCTGGTCTGCCTTTATAGTTGTATAATAATGACATTTCTCGTCTTTAATCCCTACTTCCGGGGCTCGGCGAAGACCCCAGAAGGGGGTCACCGCCACCCCCATGCAGCGTCCCTCCGATTACCACAAGACACCCCCCCCCCCCCGCCCCGCCCCCCTCTGTGAAGCGAAGCCCCGCCTGTGACCAGGTTACGGGGCGGGGCCTGGCGGCGCGGAGCCGGGAGGCAGGCAGAGCTTCGCCACAGCTGTGCTTCGCCCTTTGTCGGTCTCTGCTCCTCGCCTGCGCCTTCTGCACTATCCGCCGAGCAGGATACAAAGAGAGGGACGGACGGCGCGCGGTGGAGACGGAGCATGAGAGCGACGGGGCCAGCGGAAGAACACGAGGAGACCTAACCGGACCACGGTCCGGTCCACGCACGGATAATAAAAATAAAAAATCCCCCGGACCGGGTACGGAGCTCCGCCGATGTACGCACTGGATTTTACCCACCAAAGAGTGTCGAGACCAGGGGGAGAGGGGCGGACTTTATCGCGCAGGTACTGGTTTTTGTCTTCTCATTGTGCTAATTGCCGTTGGGGTTTTACTGCTACGACCTCCACCACCGGGGTTTTACTGTTACGACCCCCCCTTCCAACCTCTACCCCGTCCCCGCAGTCCCGACTCCCGACTCCGGTCGTTTTTTTTACGGGTATAAGCTCCGCAGAGTCCGTCGAAGAAAGCGTCTGTCGGGCGAGCTTTTGTTGCGCGGTGGGATGAAGCTCCGGGCTGCTCGCCGTGTTTCTTTTGTCGGCGCTCCGCCGCAGTGCCTTGTGTGTGTGTGTGTGTGTGTGTGGTTTTTGTGTGTGTGTCGACAGTAGCCTACGTGCAAAGTTGCTCACGCAGCGATGTGAAAGCGGCACGTAGACGGCAGCGGCCGCGTATCGGACTCCCGTGATCAAAATACTCTGTCCCGGGAGGCGCAGAGGGGGTTCGTCCCCGCGGCGATCGTATCGCTGCGGCTCGGCGACGCGGCTGTAATTACACGTATGACGTTAGTGAGAGCACAAAGTAAAAAAAAAAAAAAAAAAAAGCAAAAGGCGAAGTGTCCAATGCGGTCCGATTATATATATTATACACACACCTCATTTTCTATAAAAAAAAAAAAAAAATCTAAAACTGGTGAATATGATCTACCACTGTTATATACTATATGTATGTATTTTTTCCGCTTCAGTAACCCTTTTCCAAACGATTCATTAGAAACAGTCAGTCATGGGTTTCTAATAGTCTTTTTCAGCTGATTTTTCTCTCGCTGTGTTGTTCGTGTCGGGGAGTGTTTTAATTATTCCTGCAGGATCGTTATGAGATCACACCCGTCTGTAGTTGTGTGTCAGAGATGTTTAACAGGTTTCGTTTCGGCAGATGAAATGCAACGAGGGTTTCCTTTCCCATGAAGGAAAAGGTGACTTTACGGTCTCCCCCCCCCCCCACCCCCCTTAACCGCATAGTAGCTCACTCAAGCAGCCTATTAATCATACCGCTTTATGGATGACGGGATGACTTCAGTTTGGAAACTAAGATTATAGGATTATTGCTCTTATCTTTGATGACTGCATCTTTCTTTCTTTCTCCCAGGACTGTCGGGGCTTTAGGAGGGCACCATGGATAAAACTTTGCACATTCTCCAGAAACCCACAGAGGTCGTACCGACGGGGATCTCCCTGGATATGAGTTTAGATATGGATGACGGGGCAAATTTCCCAGAACAGCGGATAGTGGGTCTTCCGGACAAAATACCTTTGGTGAAACCTTATTTCAAAAAGAAGCAGAGGAAATTGGACACCAAATGCCTCCACCGGGCCCTGGAGGACCCCATACTGACCACTCTGCTGAGCACGGACGCGCTGGTGTCCGGGGACGGGGTGTTTGTTCCCCGGAACCCGCCGGGCAGGACTCCGGCCAACCTGTGCGCGGCGGTCGTGGTGAAGCAGAACCGCATCGGCCAAGTGTGTCTCAAACCCCCGGGAGCCCCCGGCAACGCCGCCGCCGTGGCCGGAGTGCCGGGGCTGATGGCCCGCGACGGGGACGTGGAGATTGCCGATACTACTGCGGAGCTGGAGGAGACGGAGCGGCGGGGGGAGCGGCCCAAGATCGCCGATCCCACCCCCGACGGCCGCTGCTTTCAACCGAAACCTGGCCTCGGGGCGGCCGGCGGCGCCGCGACAATGCCGGCCCCCGGCAGAGATATACCTCCCACGGTCGCACCCCAGGCTCTTCACCAGGAGAGGAGCATCAAAAGCAATGACCTCTTAACCTCTGGGTCTAAAAACCCTCCAGTCAAAGACTGCACCGGGGCCCAGGACCCCCTTCCCCTCCTCCTGCTGCCCGACAAAAGAGTGCTATTTCAGGACAAAAGCGAAGAGGCCTCCCTGGACTTGGTTTTTGAGCTGCTCACGCAGCTCCAGTATCACACGCACCAGTCAGACTCCGTGGACATTTGCGTGGATTTCCTCCAAGGGCAGTGCGTGTACGGCAACGACTGTGCCCACCACCACACCGTGCTGCCCTACCACTGGCAGATCCGCAGGAGCAGCAACCAGACGTGGCAGAGCATCGCCGACGACTCCCAGGAACAGCTGGAGAGACTTTACTGCAACCCGGACAACGAGCAAGTCCGCCTCAAGTTTCAGTGAGTTGGCTGTATTTCTTATTTTATTGTGCGTGCTGTGCGCTCTCTGGTCACTGTGCAGGGGAGCGGCGACGCGGCGTTTCTGCTTTTCATCTGTGCATGCGGGCAACCTGGTGGTTGGTTGGGGAGTGGGGGGGGTCAATTCACTTTCAATTCAATCAACTCAAAAGAGGAACTGCAAACGCAGTTCATGCACTCATAGCAGCGCATCTGCTTGCAGTGCTTCTCGAGAGGAAGATGTAAATGTAACGTACAGAGTCCTTTGCACTCCGGCCAGTGTGGTAACTGCTGCTGAGGAGGGGTACGCCGTGTCCCAAGTACGTATGAATTAACAAACGTTTGACTCTCGTGACACGGCAACAATGGCGCAGTAAGCTGATCGGATTGCTCGTGAATGATAAGCACCTCCAGTCTGCCGTGTTGGAAACCGTAGAACTCGGCCTGAGCTTCCTCTTTGGTTTCACCGCCGGTGACAAACTGAAAGCTTCGACTGCACAGCTGTTTGTGTGCTTGTGACTCACGTGCTGCGGCCAACTCGCAGTTCTCAATACCGTCAAAGCGCCTGTTCAATGCGCGTTTGAAAGCGTGCATCGCTCCTTTTTTTATTCTTATCTCCTCCTTCACGTGTCTTAGTTAATGTGTACCGGACACGCATCTTTTATTTGAACTGTCACGTCGGCTATTGGGCCCTCGTGTCGTCACGGCACTCCCATATCCCAGCCCCCAATATCGGTCATCCATTTTCTGGGATTTTTCTGCCCCCCCCCCCTTCGCTCCCAAATTTGCCCTGTGATTGGCTGCAGCTCCGTCCAAACTATGGCAGAAAGCTGTGAACTTCCCTGACCCTCGGTTGCCTTGTGCGGTCACTGACACAGACGCGCTTGGCAGCTTCTCATCATCCCCCGGTCATAGACACGCACTCCGCTGCGCGCACACACACACACACACACACACGCACACTCTGCTTGGCACGCAGACGCTCACACGAATAGGCTGCACAGAGAAGCTCAGCGGCTTGCAGTGCTCACACGCACGCCTTTTAGCCGACACAGATAAACCTTCTTTTTTTTTTTTTTTTTCTCACTCTCACATACACACCCACATAGGCACACACACACACATGCAAGAACTTGGCAAGCCCCAGTGGGGTGATAAAGGAGCAGGCACCACTTCCTGTATGAAGGCACATTCACACGGACACTCACGCACAAAGAGTTTGTGCGCCGTGGCCTCGGTTCACCTGCTTCTGAACACAAGTTGCTTTATTGTTGATGTTTGTGTTCCAGTTTACTAAATCTATTTCTAGAATTTATCTCAGTTGATAAAAATCCAGCTTGATAATGATATCAAACCAGGCTTTTTTTAAGCACCTGACATTTTCTGACCTGTGCAGTTCTGACTAATGATTTAATTATCCTCCAAATGACTTGATTGTTCTCTCTCTTTCTCAATCACGGCTTGTTGAACTAGTGTTTTTATGTTTGTTGGAAAACTTAAGGTATTCAGTTCACTATCGCGTCAATTCTAAAACAAATCCTCAACCGTTGGGAAGCTGCAACCAAATAATGACGTCCTTTGGATTAATAAATCAAAATGAGCCCACTCACTATTTCAGCCGGTTTTAGCAGCATACACAGTCAACAAACCACCTTTTAAAACCCTTTTAATGTTCACTTTAGGTACGAGCTCATAATGTGGTCAGGAATTTGAACAGTGCTTCTTGTATTATTATCTGAATCGGTTTAAAAGTGGGCTCCGTGTAAAATACTCGATGACTCAGCGTTGTGCCACTACACCCTCAACCTGGTCCACATCATCGGGTCTTTCTTGATTAACGGAGCCCTTTGAGCAGCCATGTGTGTTTGTCTTTGTTTATGTCTGCGTTGATACCACACACACACACACACACAGGATCTGTATGTGTCTGTGTGTTTGACTTGTTGACTTATGTTTTCAACTGAAACTCAATGCAAAAGGCGTATTGCTCCACAAACGGGACACGCACCTGGTGGCGTCGACCCGGATCCTTCAGAGACCCGCTCGGTGTGTCACTCCCTCACAGCCGGACGGGACCACCTGGCCCAGCCGCCTAGAACTCCCAAACCGGATGTGGCAGAATCACTTGAACACGTTTGTTGTCGTTAACTGCACATGTAGATTTTCCTTGTGTTCTAATGTGCGTTGGAACGTTCTGCCCGACGACATGTGATTGTTTCTGGCAGGAATAGCACACGGCCCATTGGAGTTGTGTCTTTAAATGTGATACATTTTAAAAGTGGGCCGACTTCGTCACAAGCGAGAAAATCGGTGAATTTGCGCTGGTTTACATTTAATTACCCAATTCCAGACGTATGTCCAATTTTCCCCAGTGAGGGTCGTTGTCATCGTGACTGACCTTCATCATAACACAAATTGTTGCTGCTACTTGCATTTCAACATATTTTTGTTCCACCACCTACTGCATACACCTCAAGAATGTGTTTCTGAAGTTTTCCCCACGCTGAGCCCACAAACAGGTTTGACTGCGCGGAAACACGCGACACAGAGGCTGCTCGTCTGCAGACGAACACCAGTTAATTCCCGGTTTAAAAAAAAGAAGTGCTGTATTGTCTTAATCCAATGTTTATTTACACCCCTGGTGAGGGGCTTAAAACAGGTGTGGGGGGGGCGCGGCCTCGCCTGCACGTGAACCGTCGGGAGTTGGTGGTGGTGTCTTGACGTATTGGTTCGAGGCTCATAGCAGATCGGTGACAAGCGAAAAACCGAAAAGCCGGTAAACTGCTCCCACTGCTGTGATTACTCCCAATCAGTTCAGTCATTTACTCAGTGTGTGTGTGTGTGTGTGTGTGTGTGTGTGTGTGTGTGTGTGAGGGAGAGAGATCTTTTGATACTGTTCATTAGAGATGCAGTCCAGGCTGTCTTTTCATGCACGCAAGTACACACACACACAGGGCGAAGGCCTCACCGTGGTTACCACAGCCAAATGATAACATTTGTTAGCGATCTAAAGAGCAGCAGATGACTTAACAAGCCTTACTGTCGGCATAGCAACACGGTCCTGTTTTGTTTTTACCATCCGCCGCGTTTGAGGACAGGGAGTGGACAGACAACACTCTGCAAAGCATTTTTGTGTGTCTACGCGTGATTGTGTCCTGTGCGACCGGTTGTGTCGTATGCGAGTGTGTGTCCTGCGCTGAGCTGTTCTGTGTGTGTGTGTGTGTGTGTGATTCATAGCACAGGTTAATCCCATCCATATGATAAGCAGGAATTGAACTCCTGCTAGTCCTCCTTGTTCATGAACTCAGGAGTAAGGAGGAATGTCGCAGTCGTCGCCGTGTTAATCTTCGGCCGTACACACAATTTACAGGAAAACAGACAACCAGATCTTCTGTAATAACACAAATCTCATCTAGTCCTTTTTTTTTTCCACGCTGACATGACAAAGCACATGAATCTCAAACGTGTGTGAATGATTGAGAGGCTCTAGTAAGACTGCCATAAAGAGTTAAGGAGCACTGAGGGCAGAGCGACCTGACACAATGGCGTGTGTGCGTGTGTGTGCGTGTGCGTGTGTGTTGATATCGCGGGGGATTCCACGCCACCTCATTGTGTCACGAATCAAAGCAAATCAAGAATGGTTGCGTCCATGGGAGCTTGTTTGCGTGAGTGAAAAGAGGCGGTGTCAAGATAATCAGACCGTGTGTGTGTGTGTGTGTGTGTGCGTGCGCCATCACGTGTCAGACAGTTCATGCCGTGAATCAGTCGGGCGAGGTCTGGGTCGCTCTGCCTCTTATTACGCAGAGTCTGCCTTCATCCCTCCCATGTTTTGTTTTTTTCTTTTTAAACGTCCTCCCAACGTCCTCACTTCCTTACTGAATCTCTCATCCTCTACATGTCTTTGTCCCACCCGTCCCTCCCTCCCTCTCGGTCTTTGTTCATTCCCCACTAGTCCCAAGGCGTCCCTAAAGAGGTGTGAGAGATATGGAAATGTGCGCTTTGCCGCTGCACAAGTGTGCCAGCGTGTGGTTTTTTAATGTTGAACCCGTTTATCCACACATGTCTTCGCCGGCGCTTTTACCTTTTTTTTTTTTTTAACCATCTGAAGAGTCTTAAAATTTCCCGAGAGGGTTAAAGGACCCACAGAGGACGACCTGAACTGTTGGCTTAATGATGCGCCGCAGAGGAGGACCGGTACACACTCTTAAACAGGAACAATCCAGGGCGGATTTGTTCCTGTTCTCTTTTGTGTCGTTCCCAAAGAGACCTCAAATCCGATGAAGCACCTTTTGAACCGATAACTGGGAAATGAAACGCTCCGACATGAGGAAACAACACTCATCCACAGCGTCAGGGTTGTGTGCCCCCGTCAGCAGTTTGGGTTGACTGACTTATTAAGCTGCGACTGGGGGGGAAGTGTGCGTGTGTGTGTGTGTGTGTGTGTGTGTGTGCGTGCGTGAGTGTGATATACGCAAATGAGCGAGCTCTCGTGTTTTGTTTTTGTGTGTGTTTTTTTTCTTGCCCGTTACGTTTACAAAGGCATGACTGATGCTGGTATGCGGGTCCCTGTGTGTGCAGCCGTGAGAAAATTTGAAGGGTGTGTGTGTGTGTGTGTGTGTGCGTGCGTGCGTGTGTGTGTGCGTGTCTGTGCTGAAGGCAGCGTAGAGGATTAACAGCCATTTTGACACTACCGTGAGTTTCCTTCAGCCCCATTCATCCACGGAAAGGTTCTGGTGAAAAACGCGCTCTGTTTTCCTCACTCGCCACTGACCCACACGCACAGCAACAGAGGCCGCTTGCTGCACTTCAACCGCACGTCCTTGCTCAAGGGCCTTCTCCCGTCGCCCTTGGCACACAAGCGCCCCTCCCCAGTCAGCAAAGTGTTTTTCAGTTTGAAGTGTTTTTCCTGTAAAACTAAAACACGCTTTGCTTTCAATTTGCATTCTCTGTTGACTTATGCGTTGTGTGTGTGTGTGTGTGTGTACTCTTCTTTTGCACGGGCTGCAACCGCCCGACATTCGCTCTCGAAACAGGGTCGACCTTGCCAGAGTGGGCGGGCCTTGCGTCTCTTCCCAACCCTTGATTGGCCTCCGCGTTGAGAGCTCCGAATCTCGGTGCACTTAATTTAACTGGTGGAATTTTATTTTTAGAACGGCACAAACTAGTCTGGGAGCGAGGGAGGGGAAAAGAGGAGTGAACGGCTTTGAAAAAATCCCTGACTGACCTTTCTGGAGAGCGGCCTCCTTTCTCTCTCTCTCTCTGTGTATCTCGATGTAATCAGTGGGGCAGGGTGGCTTCTTGTAAACGCAACATTTAAGTTCACATAACCTCATAAACAAACCTGAACGTGTGACTGTGCAAAGTTCAGCAGAGGTCACACTCTCAGTATGTGTGTGCGTGTGTGTGCGCGCAAACACACAACAGAGACCGAGACAGAGAGGCCACGTAGGTGCGCCTTTCCTTTCCAGACGTGAAATACAGAGAAACGGAAAGAAGGAGTGAAACAGGGAAGCGAGCAGAGAGATGACCTGAGAGCCGTTTGAGGAAAGAAATGAAGGATGTTCTGTTTTCACAGTTGATTTGTTTCCGTTACATTTGCAGTGGATTGCCTTGCCTGGCAGCGACAGCCTCCATCACCCTCTCTCTTCTGCTTCTCTGCGCTCGCTCTTTCTTTTGATATTCAAATTGACTTGAAACCGAAACTACGCTCTTTTTTTTCTTCTTTTTCTGGGGTTTCTCGGCTGCAAGTAACTCGTAGACGTCGTGGACGCCTTGTGTTCCTGGTAGACCTGTGAGCTGACCGGCGGTGACTCGCTGCTCGGTTTCTGCTGTGTTTTATTGATTTCACTTCCTCTTGTGGGGCTGCAGTCACAGTGTGACTTTGCACAAACACACACTGTAAATATTGTGTATGTAATCAGTGTTTTGCTTAGTGTACTGTCTTTTTTTTTTTTGAAAATTGACGCAGCAGCTCTCAATATCTCCGTCCTGACCGCAACTGTGTGTGCCTGCGTGCCTGTCTGTGCTCGTGTGTGTAACTTCAGTGACCAGTAGATGAAATCATATATTTGCGTTCAGTGCACCTATCACTATAAAATGTGGTTTCACTTCTCCGGGCTGTTGAACAACAACTCAGCAGGTCCACACATCCAAATCTTCTGTGTCTATAATGTAATACATGCGCTTTGTTTAGCACAAACCTGAGGCACACAACCCTTACTTTACACACACGGACGTATTACACACACACTTCCAGACAGACACGCGCTGCACTCGCCGATGTCGAACCTTTTTGACTTGTCATCCGATTAGTTACCCAGCATAAATCAATGTGCCCATTAGCATTGTCGTGCTACGTGCATCCTTTGTGTGTGTGTGTGTGTGTGTGTGTGTGTGTGTGTGTGTGTGTGTGTGTGTGTGTGTGTGTGTGTGTGTGTGTGTGTGTGTGTGTGTGTGTGTGTGTGTGTGTGTGTCGAGGCATAGCGTGCCAGTCAGTGATGCCCACATTTATGCAAGTGGTATGTCTGACCTAGAAAGGATTTGCCAGAGGCCTTATGGAGGACTAATGCAGCGAGACCGTTACACACACACACAGACGCACACACAAAGGGGTTTGTCCCACACTTGTCGAGACAGAGAGGGGTTAAGTGAGGTTGCATTTACATGATAAGATCAGATAAGATCATCATGATAAGACGTGCTTCGCAGTACAGAATCGCTGTCACAGCTTTGTAGGAGAGCTTGACCTTTGGGGAAATAAGCTCAGTCACTTCCTGAGTAACGGCGCGACTCTCGGGTCTGTACGCGCAACATCAAGCTCAACATCAAGCTCAACATCAAGCTCAGCATAAAGGCCGGAAACGGATCTAATTTTGCTCCGTCCAAAGGTGACTACGTCCCCTTTTAGAAACCCAAAAGCTCACATATTAACACAATATTGAAGCCAAGTTAGTCAGCTGAGCTTAATATATTCTACAATATCCAACTTTTGGCAAGACTGCAAAGTCAAATCCCCCATTTTTTCCTTTTTAACCACCATGTCAGCAGTAATGGCACATTCCTGCGCTGTATCGCTGACCTGGTTCTGGTTTAAATCTTGACAGAGTGAACTACAAGTTAAAAATAATCGCTGAATGCACAAATCATTACATCAGCGGGGCGTGCGCGCGTTTTCCATTTGTGTGAGCGGAATGTGTTGTTGGCGTTTGTCGTTTCCTGCCAGTTAACATGTGACATTCAAGTCGCGTAGCTGAGGGCTGGTCACGCTGCGTGACTCGCACTCGAGTGAGCGGGTTTGAGGTCTGGTCGTCTTGCTCCGGGGCACTTTGGTTTCATGGAATTCTGAGCTGTGACTGTTTGGGTCACCGTGCCACAGCCGCACGTCGGCCCACGCTTCTCTTCCTAACGACGGTTTTCCACTCTCTTCTCTCTAGGGGTCGCGTGTTTTCCCTCGACTTCGGGGCGATGCGAGTGTGTGACCTGGAATTTGACCGCGTCCGGCGACTGACCACTCCCGCCAGCCCCCTGCCCGCGACCAGCCCCAACCCCACCCCCAGCTGCCACACAGTGTGGAAGTACTACTGCAGAGACAACTTTGGCTGGAGGGAGTACTCCGAGGCAAGCCACTCAGTGCGATTGTGCGTGTGTGTGTGTGTGGGCAGGCTCGATCGGCATTGACTCCGCCCTCACCAATCGATCGACTAGCCTCAGTGATGGGATCGATCCAGACGCACGTGTGCGGGCCCGAAGCCCTCTCAGCTCCCAGCAGTTTATTTCTCTGTTATCTGCTGTAGCGCACATTTCCCTTCCTCATTCCACAGGGGAATGAAAATGCAGAAGAGCCAACTGCCTAAAATGATAAACCGTTCGGGTCTAATCTCTTCTTTGTCTTCCTCTTCCTCCTTCGCCGACGCAGCCGGTGGTGAAGCTCATAGAGGAGGCGAGTTCGAGGGGTCTCAAGGAGGTGCGCTTCATCACGCTCCAGAACCAGTACATCCTCAACATCCGGGAGGGCTTCCAGCAGAACGCCGTCTTCGGCTTCCGCCGTCAGATCAAGAAGCGGCCCACGTTCATGTCCTCCGTGATGCTCACGCCCCACCTTCAGTGAGTAAAGCCGTCATACACTTTACAGAACGGGGGGGGGGGTTGGACATGAGCCTCAGCTGTACTCCACCGTACAGCTGTGTATTGGGATAATACGCATAGTTATAAACGCTAAACCAACCAGCAACATTTGTTTCATAGCCTTCGTTCGAGACAATCATCTCATCCGATAAAGGACGAGCTTGCCAATAAGGTGATGTGTTAATGTGGAAACAGGGTTGTTTCTGAGAGTTCCATTAACCTCCTTGAAACAAATACAAATAACCCTCTGATAAACATCAGGGCTTAACAGCTGCTTGGTTAAAAGAAAATGTCAGGACAGTCAGTCCTCAGTTGATCATTAAGTTCTCTCATCTCAACCTTGTTGGGGAACATTTCGTATTCTGAATACGAAGCAACATTTAGTGTGGGAACAAAGTCCTCGATTTTTTTATTTATTTTTTTTATTTTTTTTACATTAACGCACAAAGTTGCCTCTTAGGTATGTGATACTCTGTCTTCCTGTGGATCTATGTGTTCCGTAAGTGTCCCTGTTTGGAGACAGACGGGCACACAGAGGTCAGTACACAATGCTAATGTCACACTCAGGGCTAAAGACTCTAAATCCCCCGAACAACACGTTCACCTTTAATCCTTTCCAGTACCGTTGCTCACATTGCTCGCGCTTAAAACCCATATTAGTGTTGGCAAATCAAACCGAGCTACTGGGACTCGTGACAGTACCAAAGCAGAATGAAGCAAAATAAATAATGAGTCTGAGACAGAGAGGGTGGGGAGAAAGAAATACAAATTTAAATGAGTCTGATAACTAGTGAGAAAAGGAGACGGATGAAATCCGTTCACTTTCTTCTGTGAACGAGCAGATTCTAGAATTTTTTCCATCTCTCGGCTCCCATTTAGTCTCCTTGGCAGTGAAGTGATCCGCCTGGCTGCACTCGCCTCCGTGATATTCCCGACACAAGTGATACCAGATTGGAAACAAGTGGAGTCATCTCACCCCATTTGCAGCGTGTCTCACTTCCGCTGCCGAGCAGGCTGCCGCTGCGATGTCCCGGACAGGGCGGACGCTAGCACGGGCTGTTCCGGGAGGGGGGGAGGGGGAGAGGGCGGAAGGGTAGGACAGAGGGAACGAGTGGAGAAAGAGGCGAGATGGGAGAGCGCAGCGAGGGGAAGTGAGCGCGGCCCAAATGGGTTCCAGGCCGGTCGCAGAGCCGCTGAAAGGAGCGTGAAATGTGACTGTGGGAAGCTGGGAGCTTTGGATCGAGGGATTTGTTCTCAGGACGTTTCCATCCGCTTGTTGTGCTTGTGTGTGTGTGTGTGCGCGCGCGGTTCGATGAATCACTTAGCGGGACAAAGATTGGATCACACGGTCTCATCATGGGGAATAAAAAGCAGAAAATGGTTGTTTTTGGGGAGGTTGAGTGTTCCACGCAGTTTCCTTGTGACCTAAACCTGTGTGTGTGTGTGTGTGTGTGTGTGTGTGTGTGTGTGTGTGTGTGTGTGTGTGTGTGTGTGTGTGTGTGTGTGTGTGTGTGTGTGTGTGTGTGTGTGTGTGTGTGTGTGTGTGTGTCAGGAACAAGCTGTGCTGGGCTTAGAGGTTGAGGTTTGCACTCTCCCTGGCTCCTTTCTCCTTCTGTCCACCCCCCCGCCCCCCCAATGTTATTCTCAGCTATCTTACCCAATCGCTCTCCTTTTGGAACCTCGACTCCCGCTCCTCTCCTGTGATGCGCTCCTCTTCACTTCCCCACTTGTTTACTGCAGCAGGCTGTGCTGAGATCTCTTCAAAGCTCACAGGGGGAAAAGGAGAGACGTTGATTGAGGCCGGACAGACACGATAAGAGAGAGGAGGAGAGCGAGGGGAAGAAAAATAAATGAGAAAATCTGTCGCCCTGCCTGGGAGAGTCGCACTGATCAGTCTCTGGACGACACGCGCACACTCTCTCTCAGGGCTGATGGGGCGAACGGCATTGACGCTCACAATGACTTGACAGCCAAACCACTGTTATTGACTGAAATGCCAGAAACAATAGCTTTTTTGTCGCCGTCCTGACAGCGCGGCAATTGGCTTTTCTTCTTCTTTTTCTCCCCCTCCCTTTGGTCTCGTTCCTGTCAGTCCCTCACTCTGCCTCCCCGTTGTCTTGTTTAGTGTCTGGGTTTCGTTTTCCCGCTGCCCTGCTGTTTTGTTTGGTCGGCGGGGGCTGACGGCTGCCGTGGAGCCGCTCCGCTCGGCGACACACTGGTGTCATTGTTGACGGTTGGTGGGAAATGATTTTTGGAAGCAAAGACGGGTCGGTTTCATCGCAGCGGTTCGTTTTTTCTTTTTTTCTTTTAGGATGCAGCGTCTATCGGAAACTCGGGGGAAGGAAGCTGTATGAAGGAAATAGATGCAGGCTGATACTTGATTCATAGTAGGAGGGGGTTTTAAAGGCTGTGGCAACTAACATCTGAGCTCTGCTACCATTCTCAATTTCTGAAATGTCAGCTGTTCTATAAGTGTGCTCCATGCTATATATATAAGTGTGTGTGTGTATATTAGTTTAAATTTATTATTTAATTATTTTTGAAAAATGACCTGTGGAGATTTATTTAGCTCGTTGCTACTATTGCGTTCCCCCTTTCTAAACCTTTCATGCTATAATATTCTCCATGTGTGTTAAAGGTGATCCTAATCATTTATCAGGCTCCAGATGGCAAAATTCCCCGATCATATTAAGTACTCTAAGAAGTAAATCCATAACACCTTTTCTATCTCTTTCACTGTAGGACTTTGGGCGGCCTCTCTTCATCTCCCCTCCCATGTTCCTCCTCCTCCTCCTCCTCCTCCTCTCCCATGGACATCACCGTGTCGCATCCCCTCTCGCCGACCACCACCAACCCACCCAGCCTTTTCCCGGAAACCTGGTTGCCCATGACGATGAGCCAGGACTTCCTGCAGGTGCCGGTGTCGCGCGAAGACCGCAGCTACCGGACGGTGTACAGCCTTTTCCACAAGACGGTGTCAGAGACCAAGTTCAGGATCCTCAAGATACAGCGTGTGCAGAACCCCTTCCTCTGGGAGAAGTACAAGAGGTGAGCCACGACGCATTGCTGGAGATGGCTTCTGGTGATCTTGAACCTTAAAATGCAAAAAAGAAGGGGGGGGGGGGGCAGCTCAGTCAGGATCAGATACAATGGGGAGGACGAGTATTTGATACACTGCTGATTTTCCCACTTACAAGGCATGTAGGAGTCTGTACTCTGAATCATAGGTACTCTTTAACTGTGAGTGACGGAATCTAAAACAAAAATCCAGAAAATTACATGACTTAAAAAATATATATTTTGCAGTTTATTGCAAGTATTTAATACAACAGAAAAGCCCAACTTAATATTTGGTACAGAAACCTTTGTTTGAAATTACAGACATCATACGTTTCCTGTAGTTCTTGACCAGGTTTGCACACAGTGCAGCAGGGATTTCGGCCCACTCCTCCATACAGACCTTCTCCAGATCCTTTGGGTTTTATGGCTGTCGCTGGGCGACACGGACCTTCAGCTCCCTCCAAAGATGTTCTATTGGGTTCAGGTCTGGAGACCAGCTAGGCCACGTCTTACGGAGCCACTCCTTAGTTGCCCCGGCTGTGTGTTTCGGGTCGTTGGCGTGCTGGAAGACCCAGCCACGACCCACCTTCAATGCTCTTACCGACGGAAGGAGATCGTTGGCCAAGATACACGGCCACATCCATCCTCCCGTCACGGAGAGAAAACAAGTGGGGCAACTGGGACCAGCTGTGTGTGACTTTGTGAGACGGGGGCGAGGTGTTGTGTGTGTGAACACGGCGGACGGGGAGATGATTGGTGATGATGGTGTCATGTTGCAGGTACAGTGGCCTAACCACTGCGGTTAGAGTAGGACCGGCTCTATCAGCTGTGACAGTTATAACTCTCCCACACTGACTGTTACCACACGGTTTCACAATGACTGACAGCGTGTGTGTTTGTGTGCGTGTGTCATTAACTCTGAAAGTGATACCACCCCCCCCTCTTTCCTCTTCCCTCATTCCGGTTATGACAGGGAAGCAATTACTGCTTGTTTTGCATCTGTGTGTGTGTGTGTGTGTGTGTGTGTGTGTATCTGCTTGGTTGTCATCGTAAAAATTGGATGGTGGGAAATTCATCAATTTGGATTCATCAAAGTCGGTTTGCGTCGAGCTAACAGCATCGGGGTCATGGGAGGTCACGCCGGGGTCACAGCTTTAATGGCTGGAGGCGCTTTCACTTCCACATGCCTGATTGATCCGCTCGCAGCAAACTGTTTACGTGTGTGTGTGCAGCTCATGAAACGGATTAGGCCGAATGTTCCTCCCCGGTTTAGAGAAAACAAAGCTGCGACCACAACTTTTCAACAGTAGAACTAGCATTCTCTCACAGTGCACCCGCCCGGTCGAATAAAGAAGGAAGAGTCGGGGATTTTCCAGTCAGAATCAACAAATCTAACCCGTCCGTCCCTTTCTGCCCCAACAGGAAGAAGGAGTACATGTCGCGGCGCATGTCCGAGATGGACCGGCTGCTGAGCGAGCGCCACCTCTTCCACGGCACCTCGGCCGACGTGGTGGAGGGCATCTGCAAGCACAACTTCGACCCGCGAGTCTGCGGCAAGCACGCCACCATGTTCGGCCAGGGCTCCTACTTCGCCCGCAAGGCAGTCTACTCCCACAACTTCTCCAAGCGCTCGCCCAAAGGAGTCCACTGCATGTTCCTGGCCAAAGTCCTCACCGGCAGGTGTGTGTGTGCGTGTGTGCGTGTGCGTGTGCGTGTGGGGGCGCGGTTAACAAGTTGATACTGGGGAAACATTTTTTGTGTGTTTTGATTATGGGTGGGTCTCGTCCCATGTTGCAACTTCTTCACTGCAACACAATTACAGTGTTTTTCCAGTTTTTTATTTTTTATTTTTAACTCGTCACACTTTATATGAAAGATACAAAATTCTCTCACTTTTTGTTTGGGTTGCATACTCAGATGTCCCCGCATGAGCCGTTTGGGCAGTATGTTCCCTGCAGCACATGCTGTAATGACAACAGCACTTTCTGAGGCTCTCACTGTTGGCGCCTTTAAAATGAAAATTTACAAAACATATCAGCGTTAATTTGGGTGATGGAAATCCCGAGGTTCTTTTCCATAAGCCAACATTCAGTCATGCAATGCGTCATGTGACTCCCATTCCTTAAAATGCAAGTCAAATCCCGAGCCACACATGTAAAATAGCCAATTTGGCTGAAGCCATCATACATCTCCAGTTTTGCAGAGAGAGGACGGTGAGGAAACGCACCACACGCACCCAGGATGTAGAGCGATAAAGAAACTGGGTGAAACCGTGTGGTTAACCCTCCTGTCTGAAGCATCCGCTCTGTCTGCAGCTGAGAATCTTCTCAGTTTGACACGTTTCATTTATGACCCCAGAGAAGGTGGAACAAACAATGATGGATTCCAGGTCTTTAGAGTTTGACATTATGCATACATTCCATGAACATACAGTATATTGTATATACTTGCAGAACTGAATTAAAAAATTTAGTATAATACAAATTACCACCCATATTTATATTCTATTTGTTATATCTACAGGTTCACTGTAGGAAATCCCTCCATGCGGCGACCTCCACCCATCAACGTCCGTGACCCCTCCAGTGACCTTTTTGACTCCTGTGTGGACAACTGGGTGGACCCCCAGATCTATGTCATCTTCAACGATGACCAGAGCTACCCCTACTTTATCATTCACTACGAGGAGGTACCCAGCACTGTGGCCATCTAAGCCCTGGATCAGACCTGGCTGCGCCGGTATTTGCAAACACTCATAGTTTGTTAAAGTCTGTTAAGTTGCCACATGTGCGGCAAGTACGGTTCAGGCCAACGAAGAGCTGAGATTTGGAGTCACTTTGCCGGACTGGACCTCGCCCGTCTGCTGCTCTGAACCGGGTGAAACAGTCTTAGGAAATAATTGATTTAAGTCTGCAGTCAGTTGGATCCAAACCAGACTGGACTGCAGCGCAGCACAACAGTCTCGTCTAGACCGGATTAAACCGGACAAGACTGGACTGGCACAGGACGACACCTGTTTCATCCGTTGTTCCGTTGTTTCGACGTTGACCGCTGCGACCACCGCCGCTGCCGCCGCCGCCGTGAGCGGACTCACACACCCCACTTTGTTATCCGGTGGGATCGGGAGCCGAGCGGCGGTCACAGCAGGATTCGGTCCACCACGTTGATCCGGAGCGGATGCAGGAGAACTGGACTCTGTTACGGTTTTGACTTGTTTGTGTGGCTGTACGTGAACTCGTCGCACAAAAGTATCGGCGGTATCGTTCTGGGGAAGCGAGGGTTAGCGCAGCCTCCGGCCCAAACGGGTTGTTCTTTTTTCTTTTCAAGTTCTTTTTAGTGCGGCGTGTTTTGAATCTTTTAATTTAGTGCAAATGAATCTTGTGGCCTCTTCAAACAGACGAATAGACGTGCGTTTCGGCGGTTTTACAAACGGACATCCGCAGAAACGGTTTCACCTGAAGCCCGTTCGGTGCCCGGTCGGCGTTTTTTGCCTTGGCGCCCGGTTAAATGCTCCAGTGAAATTGAAGAGTGTACAGTTTCACGCTGAGAATGGGCGGCGCCCCCCCCCCGTGAAACTCATCTCTCTCGGACCGCTCGCTCGCGCTCGGAGACAGTAGACATGTTTTAATGAGACAAACTGTACAGACGTTCTCTTTGTTTATATTTGAACTGTGTGCCTTTTGTTCATAAACAAATTTATTTATGTTAGTTTAATGTAACATTGATTAAATAAAGAATCTAAAAGAAAAAAAAGAGCAATTGGTTTTACTTGTGCTTTATTCAAATCATGTTGAGTGGGATTTATGTGTAATGAACGTTGTGACATCCACATTCCTGTTAGCGTCATCTCGAGGTGTGTGTGTGTGTGTGTGTGTGTGTGTGTGTGTGTGTGTGTGTGTGTGACAGTGGGACCACCGCGAGACTTTTGTTGGATTGAAAACGCATTCAAAGAATGAATGCAGCTCCAGTCGCCTGAGTTAAGAAGTGAACCCAACCCACTGGTCTCAATTTGAGCTCCATGATATTAAGCCCGTTTTCAGCGGATCATCTGATTATTTGTTTTGGTCCATGTCCGGTGGTGTAAAACCCAGAAAAGACTTGGCCTCCTCCACCCCCCCCCCCCCCACATCCCCGGCCCATGTGTACTATCTGAGCGCCATGTCTAATGCGGACATGCTGTCTATTCCAGCCCGGGGACGGGGCACACGTGGGGCTCAGCAGAGGAACTCAACACCCCTCCTCCAACTTTAGACCAACGACACAATCATGTCTGAGGCTCAAGTTCACAGTGGACACAAAAACAACGTGGGGATAAAACCAACGATCGTGTTTTCAAATATCTATTTGACCTGTTTCATAACCATTGTGTGCTCTTGTGACAAGAGCAGGAAAACGGAAGAATTTATGTCTAAATTAGATTTGCTTTTGTGTACATTTTCACAGACATTTTAAACACAATTCAGCATCACATTTGATTGACAGCCAATACGTAGGTTTCTATGTGTTCCTCATCTGGGACTCCTAAATCCGTCAGAACATGGTTTTGTGCAAACCTTTACTCCCATTTCCTCCCCTGAGCTGTTGGTGCCCCCTCCACCCCCCCTCACGCTCTGGGCGTGGGGGCTCATGGTGCGGGAACACTGCGCGCTGTAGATTTTTGTTTTCTGGACTGTGTCGTGCAAGCCTGCCGTGCTGAGCTTTGCTTTCTGGCAGAGAGTGGAGGGGGGGGGGGGCAGGAGAGGGACACGGAGGGAGGAGTTATTTTGCTCTCTTCGTGCCTCGCCGCCGAGCTGCGTGCCTGCCTGCTCTTCTCGTGTGCATGCTAGATCGCGCAGGTTGCCCTCTGTTTGCCCCCGTCTCTCTCGTCTCCCCCGTCTCCCTCCTCCTGGCCCAGCCTCCCTCTCCTAATCTCTCTTACAGCCTTCCGTTCTCGGTCCACTTTTTTCAATCTCCTTTCCCGACCTGTCCAAACCGAACTCATCAGCTCTTAGCAGTTTAAAATCCTTTTGCCCTCAATGATTCGAGACACCCCCCCCCCCCCCCTCCTCCCTCCTCTCCCCCCAGACCTCTGTCTCTGTGAGTCATGCAGCGGGCACTGGGTAGGTTTGTTTGCCTGACTGCCCTCCAGGAATTGCTGCTGGCACACAGAGAGCAGCGCTTTGTAGACGTGCTGGCGGAGGTCAGGAGGGGAGGAGAGCGGGAGAAGATGGTGAAGGAGGATGAGAGGAGAGAAGCGACGCCGAGGACCGGGCTGAGATCAGATCTTAAGAAATCCGAGTAGACCCAAGATGAGATGGCAGGGAGCAGGACTGTGTGTGTGTGTGTGTTAGAGAGAGAAAGATAGAGACGGAGGGGGAAGTACAGCCTTTATAAAAGCAACGACAGAACTTTGAATTATTCAAAGCAGTCAAGATTAGTGTGTGTGTGTGTGTGTTTACTTCTGATGTTTCACCATCTAAAGTAAGACTGAAAGGAGACCAGACTTCTAAATCAGATTCAAAATCATTTTAGATGCATTTATAATTCATTTGGGTCTCATTGTGCATTAGGTTCAAAAGTGCAGCTAACGCACACGCACACACACATCAGTTCAAATCAAGCTTATTCAACTTTCCGACCTACATTATTCAGCGTGTAGAAAGGGGGTTTCCATTCTACAGAAATTAGACCATTAAATACCAGCACACGCATCGGTAACATGCAGTTTTGCAGCGATTGAGCGTGTGAAAAAATGCCATTGCTGATGTTTTTTCACTCACAAGGGTTGTACTCGCCTTGTAGAGTTATTTTCACATCTAATACGGGAAGGTGTTACCAAGAAATACAGCAGAATAGCATCTTTGTTAATCTGCTACATACTGAGGAACATGTTACTTCTCACAACTACCTGGCAAATGTGTTTTTCTGCAAAGAAAGGAACACTTTTGAGAACTTTTTCGTAAACTACTCTTGTGTACTTTTTGAATGTGAAGCAATTTTTTGTTTTGTACTGCAGCCCCAAACCTTCTGACATAAGCCTTTTCATATTGCTCTAATATTTCCCCTTACTCACACACACATGCCGGCGTGCTATGCAGACACGCATGCAGGAGCTTGCATACATGTGTTTATTTTACAGACTCACATTTGCACATGTATCTGGAAATATCTAAAGCTTTGGACTGAATTAACCCGATATCTTGTTCATATTCCCTCTCACGCATGCACAGATAAACGAACCGACATACATGCACATATGTATGCACAAAGATACACAGACACACGCACACTTCCTGCATTAAGCCCGGGTCCATATTGCTCCAACGGTGCCCAGCTGCAACCAATGAACATTCCAGTTACTGTTTTTTTTTCCCTCCTTCCCTCTCTATCATTTCAAATTTCAGCTCTAAGCCTTTAAGAGAGCCAGCAGCCAAATATGGTCAGACTTGTGTCATGAACTTTGCGCGACCTGCTAAAGCGCCACGGAGATCGTGACCTCTAAGACCCCGCCTGAAGCTTGGCTTAGGCACCGTCCTGCATGGTCACGGAAAGAAGTCCGATGTGTGTGTAAGCGCGCGCGGTTGTGGGTCGGTCCCAGGGAGAGTTCATGACCTGTGACTACCAAATATTTACATACATTTATATAAATATGAACAGCTGGTCCACCAGTGTGGTCACAACTTGGAGGTGAATTAGCTCAAAACTGTGGAGATGACAGTGGACTTCAGGAAGAGCCCCCCTCCCCCCACCCTACTCAACAGCACGGTGTCTCCTGTGGAGACCTTCAGGTTTCTGGGACCTCCAATATGGGCACCATCAGGAGGACGGCCCAGTTCAAGAAGTTCAACGTGGCCCGGGAGCTGCTGCTCCTGCTCCTCTCCGCCGTCATCCAGAGCCAACAGGACAGGAACCGGCTACAACGGATCCTCGGGTCTGCAGAGAGAATCGTTGGCTCCAGCCTGCCCTCCATCCTGGACCTGTACACCTCCAGTCAGGAGAAGGCAAGGCCTTCACACCACCCACACATACCTGTGCACAGCGTTTTCCAACTCCTCAGAGAACTCAAACCACCAGACACAGCCGTCTCCCTTATGATCAGACCTACTGCACCTCCATTTGCACTATTACTAAGTACAGTATGTGGAGAACATTGAAAATAACGGAAATCTTGCAAAAGCGGATTCTGATATTTCTGACCATTTACCGGCTTGTTTTGTTGTTTCTGCACCTTTTGTCTTTTTTCGTCATTTGATCGCTTTAATGCTGGAAGAGTTTTAGGAAACAGGAGTGAAAGGTATATTGACATATATAATCGTTTTCTCATAATACCTGGTAGGAAGGGGTTCCCTTCATGTTATGAGAAAGAGAGGATGGACGTTTTCCAAAGGCCACATCTGTCTTTTGTCACCTGTAACCATAAAAAAAAAACAGGCAATGCTTGCTTATGCCAAGAATGTGTGCATAACAAAATGATACCAAAGATCCTCTGAGCAATGTCATGATGACGCACGGAAACACCAGCGCTTCCAAAAAAATCCACCTGCGTCCTAAAAAAAGTACTAGTCCGTATTTGCTTGATCTGAGTAGGTAAAAAAATGAAGACCCTTGTTCTCATCGCTCTCTCAGCATCATCCATCCCTCTGGCTGAACTCCACCAGTGCTGCTGTCATCTCCTGTTTATCTAATTGGGGTTCAGAGGACTTGAGTGCGGCGGGGAGGAGGTGAGGAGGAGGAGGCAGAGGGACAAAGAGGCTTCGGCACCGGGGCCGTCAGGAGCCTCAACAGGCGGGGAGATTCCAAATAAAAGAACTAATTTGTTTGGTGTGCTGATCTGCACCGATCAGGGGGGGTGGGGGGCAGTCTGGCGTGTTAAACCTACTGACGGATTGTTGTTGCCCAGGTTTACAGTCCTGGTAAGTACTACATGAGTCATGGCTTAGTATCCTTCCCTACACAACAATATACGCTATATACAAAGATTAAATAGAAAATAGGAAATAAAAAATCATCACCAGCAGAATGTCATCGCTAATCTGTGGCTCCAAAGTTAATTCCGAATTGCCTGATCTTAAAATTTTAAGCATTGTTAGTTTAAGTATATATCTGATACTTGTGTTAGTTCTAATCCTTTCTATCTCTGCTGGGAGACATGCAGTGTGTACGTGTCTCTGCAAGCAAGTCCTTCATTAAGCAGAAACATCAAGACTCTAAAGAACTCGCTACTTAAAACTGCCCGGCTTGTTTTGCAACACGTCGCTACGTTGTGTGTGTGTGTGTGTGCGCTTTTACCAAGGGAGACCAGTTCTCTGTTAAGCAGTATGCGGGATTTACTAAATATGCATTTGCTTAGTAGTAATTCAGAACCGATGCTGGTGGGATTCTGGGACGGCCCGTCAGAAAAAACACAGTTTGGAGCCATTTTGGAGCAACAGCACATGAGCATACCAAAATCTTTGCGGCTTTATTCTGCTTCAGTCTGTCATGACCTGCCCCAACCAACCGCTAATTGTTACCATGGCTAAAGAGCACAAACAGGCCATTTTTTAGTAACATGTCTGTCGGCATCAGCGCCAGCCTTCAGCTGATGGATGGAAAGCAGTTTGATTCAGATTTTTTAAAAATCTCCTTGATACAAATTCATATCATTGTGTCCTTTTAATGAATGAATGCAAGTCCGTGCAATGGATCGGATGCACTGTACCGTGCTGTGGATGAACACATTCTTCATTTCCGCAGGAAAACTGGTTGAATTATTTAGGATTTTGATACATTTT